TGCGTCGCAAGATCGCTGGGGCGATGCGTCTGTGCGCCCATAAACAACGCTGCCACCACTGGCCTCCTAGCGGAGATAAGCTGCCCCGGCGCACATGCTGGCGCATCATGTTACCTTCACGGCGAGCAAAGCCGAGGCTGGCCAGAGCCACCACTTTGACATTTAAGTGTTAAGCGCAAATACTAAAGTGGCTAGCCACTATACAAATAGCATGAAACAAAGGCGCGAAATCTTGGACAGCATGGATCGGCCGCCTTGTAAGGTCCACCTTCGCAAGAACTCGCAGTATCCGCACTGCGGATACTCTAGCCGTCGAGTTAAAATAAGCCAAAGTGCGAGCACTTATAGCGATTACATGGTTTAAGCCAGATTACCAAAGCTAGAATGGCCTGGAACATAGAAACTAAATATATGTCAGCCCCGACCAGCTGAATAGGTGGCGCCATCTAGCGGGGCTATATTGAAACAGACAACCACAACATTGTTATTGCAGAAACATTGTTCATTGTACATGTGATGCAAAAACTGCGCAGCGACAATATTACAAATAAGTAACGTTTTTATTTGTTTTCATCTCAAAAGCATTACACGTAAGCTAACAAGTTCATGACTGTGGTTGCACAAAGTGTCACAAGATGTCGACACTGTCGTTATAGTAACTTTGTAATTTTCGTTTTTTTGCATATACCAGGATACTGTACACAATAAAAAAAGTGTCCTGATCACTATGTATGTTTAATTTTACATTTTCAATCATAAAAATAATTAAATAATACTTACGCGACAAGACGTTATGGCGCTGCGAGCACGTGTGACCTTCGTGCGGCTTGCGTTTGCGTGCGTGCCATTATGGCGCCAACTAAAAGGCATTCCGGTTGGTTATGGGTTGGGCACGCAACGCCGCGCGCTCCCAAGCCCGCAGCGCCCCAAGAGAATGCGTACCCAGCACTAAAACTCCCTGATGTCGCAGGTTAAGTCCCTGCGTTTGTATTTGCGCGTGTTACGCCCACATGCAAAATTGAGAAATTTCCGAAATTGGGGAGCGAAGTTCAATCCCCCTGCCTCGCCCATCTACGCCCTACATATCGCTGAGCGCCGCGCGTCTCCAATGGCAGGTGGCCGCGGTACCGCCATATATGCTGGTGCGCTGCGATCGTCAGCCGGCATTGCCTAAGTGGCGAATACGCACTCGCGCATGGCCGCGATGCACTGAACGCACTGCGCCACCATTCCGCCACACTCGTTGTAGCCCGCTTTGTTTTGACGTGCAAGGTCTTCGGCCCGAATATCGAGAGGGTGGAGGAAGGAAAGAGAGTTGCTCTTGATTGATATGTGGGGTTTAACGTCCCAAAACCACTATATGATTATGAGAGACGCCGTAGTGGAGGGCTCCGGAAATTTAGACCACCTGGGGTTCTTTAACGTGCAAGAGAGTTGCTCTTAAAAGCGCAGCGAAATAATGAAACACGCGACTGTTCTCGCTCGGTCATGCATATCTCACACGCAAAAATGGCGGCATTGCCGCGCTGCGCATGACGTGGTTGAAGTGTAATTGTGTGGTCGTGTTTGAGACCACTTACTGTGTCGTGGTGTGTTTGAACCGACGCTGCTTAAAAGGGCTCCGCCTGAAAAACCTCACCTCTCATCAGAGTCTGTTGTGCTTAAAAACAAATGTGAGTATTATCTCGCGCTCGAAAGTTGAACAAAAACTTGAAAATAAACCAGCCAACGAGGCGTTGAACGAGCGAGTCAACATTGGAAGCCTATCAAGGGATACGAGACCGGCTTGTACTGATGTAGAAGTGTTCATTCATGTGTGTACTTTGTTAAATGAAAATGTTCTATAGTGTGTCCTCGCATAGGTCAGCAGAGCATGGCGCATGCACTTGTGTGCTATATTGACGGCGCCGCTCGGAACATCTGTCAGTCAATATGGAAGATGTGGGTCACGCCGGCACTACGCCTATAATGCAGGGCATCGACACCAGCCAAAAGCACATGCCAGACATAATGATATTATTCTTCACTTTACCTCTCTACACTTGAGCCTCATGTCCGTGTACTACCACGTGTACGTATACGGGTGTAGTCATACTAGGAAAAAGTTCGACATGCAACCAAGCGTATGAACGGTAACAAAACTCGCGATAGTTCGTTGGCGGCGAAGAAACTCGTAAGCAGCCTGCAGATGCTTGGACGTCGCCAGACTACGGTGACGTCCACGTATCTTGGCTGCTTGCGAATTGGCACATGCGGTAGAAGGAGCTCGTCAGCGTCTCGAGAAAGTTATCGAAATCTGCGTTCTGATCCGGGAGCAGGTATGTATGAAAAACAAAAACAAAATGCCGCCCGCATCTTTCCACGGGGAGGGGGGGGGGGGGGTACTCGCGTAAATGCGTCGCAGAGTGGTGGGGCTATCACGTGAATGTTGCGTAATTGGGTATGCTTTGGGAATGCTTAATTGTCATTCAGTCTTTATTATTTTCATTTACTGAATGAAGGAGAAGCGTTGCCTTCAACGAGTGGTGGGACGCTGATGTGCGATCCAGTGCCTACATATACGGGGGGTGGGGGGGTGGGGGGGCAGTGAACAGTTGTGCAGCTCGAGCAGTCAGTCTTTACTAGTAGACACTGCCTGCATCAGCCTTGCGAGGCGAGAGAGGGGGGGGGGGGGGCAAAGAGTTGGCACGAGACGCAAGCATGCGGCACGATACGCGAGCCGCGAGCATGCGCAGTGGCGGTGTGGACAGCACCGACGCGTGACATTATGCGACTAAGAAATGCTCCGCATTAAAAAAAAAAGTTTTTCGGGTTCATTTCAGTGAATCTATAGCGATGGCAGACACACAGCAACGGTACAAGTGCAAATCGAGGAAGAGCCAGCCGGCCGTGATAGTGTTTTCCATAGCAGGAAACAATGTCTTGCGTCGTATGGTATAGTAAGTCCTTAGTACAATTTCATAACAATTCACCTCTTGGGATCGAATCGACGGAACATATGTCGTGTTGAACTGGGGGAGGGGGGGTGCAGAAAAACAGATGCCCTATATTCACAAATGGAGTAGGAAGAACCTCCTTCGTTTGTATAACCGGAAGCGAATTGCATATTGATAAGGTGTATTTTGGAAACTATAAAGGCGTTAATTTCACCATTGTATGTGAGGAAAAAAAATCAAGGTCAACGTTTTATTTTCAAGTTACGCGCCGAAATCTCCGGGCGTGAGCTCGCAGACCTCACATTATGTTTTCGCATTTTGGCGAAATTGGTTCGACTAAATTTCCTGAAACTTGTTGCATAGGTCTATGGCCCCTCAAAGGACGATGTATTGGGAACTACGCATGACCTCGTAGAGGCCGTCAAAATCTATAACGTCACGGTGTTTGGTGATGCAATGACAAGGCGGCGTCGCCAAGCACACTTTCTTTTCGTGCGCTTGCTCGCTTTCTAAGCGTCTCATCGCGCAAAGGGTGTTTTCGGGATCGTGAAATGGTAATTTTGGATTCAGTGGCATCTTCCGTTAAGAAATATGGAGGAGCAGAGATACACAATCACGCTTTGAGTATTGTACGTTTCGTTCTCAGAGGATGCGTACCATGGCGGCTGATGCCATGAAGCACGCAAGTAAGCGCTCTACGTCTCGCTCTGTCACAGTGAGCGGGCCGGAGAAGCCGTCCGAGCAAACGTAGTTTCGCAGAAGCTGTGTATTCAGCTGCTCTTTTATTCGGGCTCACGTCTACACTTCATCGGGGTGGATGAATCGCTGTGTGCACATCATCTCTCCTGCATACGCGTTGGCGAAGAAAAATGCAAACTGGCAAATCACTCGTTGCTCTCTTTGGAAAAAAAAAAGTAAGACAGGGGATTGTGTGCTCGAGCCAGGGGCGTAGCCAGGCGGCGGCACACCGGGCACGTGCCATCCCCCCCTCGAATTTTTTTCGCCATGACACAAAGAGCGAAAAATGGATGGCCATTTTAAGGGGGTGCCCCTCCCATAATTATGGTGCTCCCCCCCCCCCCTCCTCCCAAGAAATATTTCTGGCTTCGCGCCTGGCTCGAGCCGACGCTCCGGCAAGTGGACTTGTCTTCTTCAAGGCAAAAACTCTCTCGGTGCACCGTGTTGTTCTTGTTTTGATAAAAACGCCGTTCTCTAATCGAAAGCACCCGAGCTGTGAAAATACTGCCGCTTATTTCAGTGATCATTATCGGTGGTAACAGGCCCGCAGCCAAAATGTTTTTCGAAAGCGGCGACGGAAGCGGGGCATCTAAACCCGCATATGTTCATTTATTCTCGGTAAAATGCCCCCTCCCGCCCTCCATTTCAACTTCGGAAAAGGAGCCATTAGAGCCCCCCCCCCCCCCCCCCCCCCCGGCCGCCACCGCCTACGGGACTGTAACGGCCGTAGGAGTACGTTTATAGAACAGAATTATACGTATACGCACAGAAAAGACTCCCGGACGCTATAGATATATGCCATGCCGTGCTATATGGCAGCGAGGCATGGTAACTTGTCCACTCGTGTACATTAAATAATGTGTTCGTGATACCGCAGGGTGTACCATACCAACAATCTCAAATAATTTCAGGTGCATTGAACTGCCTATATCAATCTGTGTGAAGTTCTCGTTCACCCTGACGCCTGATTCAGCGTCGCCGCGCCGATAGCAGCCACCATAAGAATGCGAAGAAATCGATATGCCGAAACATACGGGCGATGACCCATGGTTTATCGCTCGTATAAGTGTCACGCTGTATCAACCATTCACGTTACGTGGATATCGGTCACAAACTTCCACAATTATGCTCAAACGGCGAGTGTTCGTCGTGTCCCTCCTGTTTCGCTTCGACCACTCTCTATTGGCGGTGTTTTCCGGCACTGCCGTCAATAACTCTGCAAAGCTTCAGCGCTTAAGCCGCATTAACCCTGCCTCACTTTGAGCTCGCTGCTGCGTCTATATTCGCGCAAGAACGTGTGACTGAAGCTGCTTTGAAGATGCTCACTTGACAATGTTGAGTCCACTGAAGAACTTGGCGATATCCTGGTCAGATGACTGCCACGGTAGACCCCTCGCCCTCACCACCGTGTTGCTGTCCACCACGTCGGTTTTGCTGCTGCAAGTGCATGCAGAAAAATAACAAAGAAAGATATTCACTGTTAATCCGCGGTAGAGGATTGATATGCGAAAAAAAAAAAACGCTCGTATAAGGGCAAATTGCGGCAGTACGGTAAAAAGTGGGGCTACGATTGACACGGTGCATACTTCCCATATAGGTTCGAAGAACGACAGCAAACGCGAAAGCTCAGAACAGCTTGGATCTTAAGGATGTGTTGGTTATAGGGCGCCTGTCCTGGTCTCAGTGTCTGAGAGGCTTCTTAAGCCTAGCAAATTCCGTCCGTCCAGTCAAATTGTAAAATGTGGAACCGGGAGGACAACCGTGCAGAAATCATCGTCGGCAGCTCTCATTGTCAGTTAGTATAGGTGCACACTTTGCGCACCGCTGCTGCTTCTGCGCAGGTGGGTCGACCAATATTTGTCTGCCGCTACCCCTTAGGGTAAACCCGAGGCCAAAATGCACTACGTGCGCACGTCCCTACGCCATGCTATAGTAGAAAACGCAGTACGCAGATTATCCCGCCAGTTCCCTTTTCCAGCAAGTGTCCGCTTTCACGCTCTCAAGAAGTATTCATTAATAAAGTCTACGCAAATTCTGCATACACACCATATTCTTTAGCCAAATGGCGACAACCGGACAATGCAACAGTGACGTGCAAGCACCGCAGGCTGCGCTGCGGCGCAGACCTTCACCACTTATTATGACAGTGTTCCGCATTTGATTAAAGGGCGAATGGCAACACACGCTTTGCAGCGCACGAATTATCGTGAACCACTGCTTACGGACATGGACGCGCAGTGATCAACGTGGAAGTCATAGCGGTCTGATCAGAGTGGTTTAGGACTTTAGGTCGGTCGACAAACCAGTACTGACCACACACCGCCCGAGTATACAAGTGATTGTGACTTGAATAAGCGCAGACCTTACGACACTGTGAAATATTATAGTTTAAAAGTCCCACTTATCCCCGGGACTCGCTTGCTGGATACCGTGTCGACCGGTTGTGCTCTCGCAATCTCCGGCGTCAGCGTAGCTCTGGCCGACTGGGCTCACCCTACGTCACCTCCTGACGCCGACGACCTTCTACGACAGTGTAGCTCTGACCGACTGGACTTGCTCTACAGAGCAAGTTCCTGACGCCGCCAAGAGCTCTCGCAAGTGGTGCCCCGTCCTCGGACTCCTGTGACCGTGTTTCCATCTTTCCTATATCTCTCCTATCCCCTCAGTTTGTTGTCGCTCCTTCTGGCTTACCACCTCACGTTTCTTCCTCTTTTCTACACCTTTACTCCTACCCCTTTTATCCCTCCTCACCCCCATACCGTGTGAGCTACTGTTGAGGTGTCGCTCACTGAAGCAGACAGTTACGGGGCTCACTTTTCTTTTCTTTTCGCTCTTAAGAATCACCTTCTCTTATTCCCGCAAAGGACATGTGCCTCTCTCTTTTGCAATAAAGGACTTTCCATCCACCCATTCATATACAAAGTATACGAATCGCGGCGATTTCTCACATCGCTCTGGCTCGCTCCTTCTCTTCCAGTGTTTTAACCTGTAGTGAGACTCTGTGTAGCTGCATTATAGGAAGAAACCAAAATCAAATCCGAAGCCAGTGTCAAAAAAAAAAACAACGTCACAATGTTTTATTTCCACGTGACCACCACCACGACCTTGAGCGTCGTCACGTCATGGCACAGGCACCTCTGGGAAAATAAAACTCATATCCAGGGCTGTCAGAAAAGATAGTATGCGTATGCACAAATCAACCTCATCCCTAACTCGTGCTCTCCTTATCGGAATTGCACCTTTAGTGCGCTTGATAAACAATGTAGGTCAGTATTCGCATACACATCATGTGGTTATCGTACCCGGTTACCATTTTTGTGCCCTTGTAACGCACGCAGAGTACAAAGGAAATAAGTGTTGACTTAAGGGCCCGTTTTCTTTATTAGGAGCGATATTATTGAGAATTAACAAAACAAAGTGGATGACTGGATAGTTTTCCACTGACAGGATCCGAACATGCGACCTTCGGATAACACGTCCGATCGGACGCGTTATTCGAAGGTCATAGGTTTGATGCCTGCTGGTGGCAAGGGATCTTTTCGACCGCTTTTCTTTGTTCACACATACATTAAAGTTACGACTAATAAAATCCCCTATATTTACCTTGGTATCATTGTATGCTAGTTCTCATTAACGTGGAGATTACAGCAACATGAGAAAAATATGCGATAAGGATAAGGTTGTTTAGTAAATACAGGCCTAAATTAACTAGGGTGCTTTGAGGCTTGCCGAAATTTCTTTATATACGGCTTAAATACTTGATAGGACATCTACCTTCGTTTAACGTTGAAAAAAAAAATAGCGATAAATACCGCCTCAGCATTAATTCAAACCTTATCACTTTCGGTATTCCCATATTGGTCGAGTATTAACGCATACGTTATTTGTACGGCCCTTTTCCCGAATAACACGGAACCTGTATATATAGTAATCCTGGCGTTTGGCCACTCACTTGGCATTTATAAAAAACCCAGAAACTGAACAACCCGGAAACCATAGTGACCGAAGCATTTGCGGTGCTGCTTTTATAATGATGAGACGAGATATACATTTGAAACTGCCAGTGAGCAACAGTGTCATATTGACACTGTTTCCCTTCCCATAAATTCCTTTTTATTCAGGTAGATAGACCAGATGCTGCCTACGCTAATTATGTCATCGACGGGCAGTCGTATCTACAGGTAAAACAAACTTCACGCAAGTGCCTCTCATGCCCGTGCCATACGGGCACTCTAAAGCCCTTTCGACAAAGGGAGATCTTCCGGAAAGGTGTTCGGGCGCACGGACACACGACAAAGAAGTAACTCCTTTCCGGCAAAGATCTTTTTCGGTAAAGGAGATCCCGCATCTACTTTTCGGACCAGAAAGACGTACTCTCAAACGCCTGCATGACGTCACTAGCACCGCGGTGGCAGCGGCAGTTGCTCTGTCTGGTGCCATGTGTCATCGGCGCAACTCCTTTCTGTAAATGGTCCTTTTTTGGCAACAAAAGGGGTTCGCTTCAAAGTACCTTACCTTTTTCGCCCTTGCCACTGGTATCAGCCGTCCTAAAGTTTAGTTGTTGAGTGACGAAGGCGACGACCTTGTACACGTAAAAAGGTTGACCACTTACAACGCAACGTGCTCCTGATAACTTAACTATAATACAGCTTGCAATGAGAATAGACTCGCACGTGAAAAAAAAAACAGACTGTTCGCAAGCGGACCACACGAGCAAGGTTTGTCCCTGTAAGTTCATCAGGACTCCACTAGACTATCAGTGCCTTTTTAGACAACGATATTAATCTCCTGGTACATGCGTGCTAACATAAGAGGGGTACGCAAAGTCAGCCCCACACATGAAAGGGGGGGGGGGGGCGTAGTCAGCGCCCATACGTTAGCATGCTAGGGAGGGGGCGCAGCGAGGAACCTTCGCTATAGTGCAACGTGTCCGCAAGATCATGCGCAATGGGTTTCACCGCGCAAGTTACATCGATCAGCGCAAGCTGGCTGCTTATCTTTTTTTTTTTTCTCGTGAAGCACGTGCATGGTATAATACAATGTGTCAAGGTGCACCCCTGCGCGATAAAAAAGAAGGAAAGGTACAGTGTCTGTACCCTCCAGCGGAAATGAATTAAATGTTTATGTTGCATCTGCAACTCGCTTTGAGAAGCAGATGTATGATCCTTTTTTTCAGCAATATTGTGCGGGTACTTTCCTTCGACGACGGAGCTTCGCATTGGACGCCTCCTCAAGTCTATTACCATGGCTCCGGGCGAAGACACGCCTTTGCCACCGACCCCGCACCTCCACCAAATTGTTGCGTGGAAATAACAGCAGTCAGTGCGTGACCATAGCACAGCTCACACACAATGGCAACCTCTTCACTTCTAGTCTGAGGCGATATTCAGGGTATGCGCCACTATATGCCCTGTTACCGTCAGCCTAAGCCACGTAACAATATTTATACACTCCCTGTTAGTGTGGCCGATATTGCTTATACGATATTCCATAAAAAAAAAAAAACTTTCTGTTGGTGTACAGTGTGCTTGACATTCGTCTTCATTATAACTGTCAGGGTTCAATTTTTTTTATGAACCAGAAGAATTTCTGCTAGGCGTTCTTTTTTTTTTTCGTGATGTCGGTAACAGGTACAAACACGCACATGTTGCAGATAAGGTTCCCGAAATGTGAGAGTCACAAGGTTATTATGTTTTAATGGGACATAACGCCATAAAAGTAGCAAGTAGGTAGCATTTCGAATGAGATATATTTTTGACAATGAGAGTACATTAAAGTGTGATTGCATCCGAATCAGCCGAATAAGCTGCTACACTGTGAATGCCACAAACGAAAAACATGTTTTTATTCGTTTACTTTCAGTAACTCCGGTTATTAGGGACAACGTTTGTCTCCGTATGAGGACTGTGCAACAAGTGACACGATTGCAACGCCCACAGCCTTTCTCTCCCAGACGCATGCATAGACTGAAAGCACGTATACTGGCACGCGTTGGTTTGGATAACACGACATGCAAACATGCACTGATGATCGTTTGTGCGTATATGTACTTACCAAATTCCAGATTCTAGCCTCTGAGATATTTCTTCCGGATTTGTAAACTTGTGCCCTGGAGGAAAAAAAAACGAATCCATATGGCCCAATGATAGCTATAAGACAGCAGGACAAGGAGCACTGTTTACTCAGAAGCAACAGCTTTTACGACATCGGTTCCGGGCCCGATTGTCTAAAATTATCCGGCAGAATAGTTTACAGGTGTAAAGTAGTTTGAAAATCATGCATATAGTTTGCAGAGCAGACTGGCTAATGGCAAGTGTATAGTTTCGTAAATTAGGACCCTCATTAGTGTCTTTTTGCCGTTGGCCGAATTTAGTCGCTAATTTTATCCATAGCAAAAAAAAAAAAAAAGAGTATCGACTGAAATGCTCTTCTATACGAACATTTCAGGCATAAAAGGCTTTTGTGAATACGGATCATGATGCGTTGCACGAGGCAGCAGTTCTGGCAATGAGCAGTTGTCCCAGTAAAGCTGGCCTCTCTTTACAGCCCGTTATAATCACACTGTTATAAAAACGAAAGCCGCAGTGCTCGACATTTTCCTCGGGTTCCCGTGGCCTCGCCACCACGTATACCTGCTTCCCCGCTGCAGCTATCCACGAGGACAATTAAAAATAAAATAAAACTCAGGCTACGCCACTGCGACAAACAGCCGATTACAATGTTTGCGCTTCCGAAGTGCCACGGTCTGCATGAATGAGATCGGTGCTGTTATGTTGACTTTGACGCATTGATCAAGGGGATACTACACACACAAGTGTTAAACTGGTTGCAGATAGGTTGATACTTTTTCAAGATATCCATTTATACCGGCTGAAATCAAAAGCCACTTCAGAGAAGAATTATATAGGCTCCCAAACACCGGCGCCGTGCACCCGTTACGCAACTGTGCTGTCGCAGATTTGACGTTATTTTTTCAAGTACTTCTTTTACTCGAACAAGGGCACCAAAAGCTGCTGAAAGTTAAAAAAATAATATATTCGGAATTTAACTTAGTCGCTTCAGCTTTGAATGTAGGCTAGTTCGCTATGTATCTGATATCGTTTTAATTACCCCGGAAAAGCTTACTCGAGCTTTCTTTACGTTTAGCTATATTTTTGCGAAATGTTTCAGTGTGCTTATGTCGTACAAATTGGCAAAATATGAGTTTTTTTGGATTGCCACGTTTTGAGCATAATAATTAAATTACTTGTTAGGTTTTAATGCCCCAAAGCCACCATGCTATTATGAGAGACACTGTAGTAGAGGGTTCCGCAAATTTCGACCAGCTGGGGCTCTTAATGTGTACCTAAATCTAAGTACACGGGCTTCAATGCAATTTCGCTGTCCTGGAAAATGCGGCCGCCGCGCACACTTTGGGCAAAACCACCAGTTTATAGAAATGAACAAGAACTCACCGTCCATGTTAAGCCTTAAGATAACTTTGGCCATGTCTTGTACGTGACGAGTAACTACTTCTGCCGATGCATCGGGCTCCAAGGAAAGGTCTTCGAGTTCAGGTCAAGCGTAACAACGAGCAGCATTCAATGCTTAGAACAAACAAACAAACAAACAAACAAACAAATGCCAGGTTAGCACAGATCACGCAGCACAGTTATTATTAAGATGATGGCCCAAAAGGCTGAGCCCAGCTGAGAAATATTTAGTAACATGTCCCGACCTGAGGTTTTACTGCATGGCGCTGGTGAATTGTTCGATCGCACTCGCTCCAGCTGTGGTCATGACTTCATGGTCATGACTTCATGATCTGTCAGTCATGACTTGTGCGAATAAATCGTCCATATCTTCGCGACACGCTTTGTGAATGTCCAAGTCGCGGTTCTGCCAGTGCCAAATAATCGAGGTATCAACCACTGCACGGGCATATGCAAACTAAAAAAAAAGTGTGAGCGCCAGAATTTTCTTGCGACAGCCGATTGCTGTAGGTGTCTTTCAGAACTATATACCGTCTTGCAGCACCGTGAGTTGTTTTTAATTTGAAAACTACGTAACGCATTCGTACGCGCCACATGACTCCTTTACGACTGATCATACGTGTAGCAGGGGGCAACAACAGGTGAAACGACGGATGCTGTTTGGCGCGAGAAGAGGAAGAACCGTGGCTGAATGACCGGCCGCCTTATACGATATTCTTTTAGATGGATATGTAGCCTGCACTGATGTAACCTGCAATTTATGAACCTCGCGCAGAAAGCAGCTTAAAGAAAAGACGTCACTATAGTAATATCTCTCTTCATTTGAGCATGGAGAGTTAATAAGTGCTTCCCACTCATCGAAGCACGAATGTTTCGATAAAAACATGACGTACATTCATGAGGTACCGCAGGCTTCACATCTACCATGCAGATCAGCCGAAAAAAAAAAGAAATGATACTGCGAGCGTTCCGGTATCCTTCTGTAATGTCGAAAAGGGTATGCTTGCGCGAGGGTAGAAAATTTAATCGGAACTCAGTGTTACGCATCAGAAAGAGGAAAAAAAACGTATTGCCACTACCTCACCACATCATAGTGGTGTGAGCTCCTTTTCAAATGTTTCTTTTTTTTTCAACCTCGTCTTTCTGCTCCGTAATGTGTCAAGTGCTGCGAAGATGTCTCTCACCGTTGCCTTGCGCTGTCCCTGTGCCAGCTACTGAGCCTTCTGGCCCACATAGTCGTGCGCGGGGCTTTTCATTAGCAGGCTAAACTAGACCGCGACGCGACCGCCCCCTACTCTCGGTTCTTCTTTATTATTATTACTTCGCTCCTTCTCGCGCTCCGAGTCATTCAGAGGCCATTCAACGAGGAAGTAGTCACTGCTACACTTTTTTCAATAAAAACTATTTTGAACAAATTACATCAATTAATTAATATTTAACAATGATCATCGGTATGACGTTCATAATTGTGCGGCTCGTTTTGTGTCGTGTCCAAATTCTCCTTCACACAAAGACACTCGAAAAGTTATAATAATTTAAACGCCTTGCTGTGAGCGCGAAACATCATCAGCAGAAATCTGGCTTTGCGTATTACGACGCAGTATAGAAATTAAATATCGGGATGCGAATGTGGATCATCTGAGTCAAGGTGTTATGTAGAGTTTATGCAGTGCCTTTAACCCAGTATAGGTAGTGACGGTATAGCACTGCATGCACTGGTACTCCTGTATTGCTGATCGGTAGACTGCAATGCAGGCGCACCGCCGTTGACACCGCTAGTCATGTGTCAATCTGCCGTAAGACGCAATAAAATATATAACGAAAATTTAAGTTCCGAAATAAGGCTCGCTCCCCCTATTCGGCACACTTGAAGCCTTTTCTTAGTGCTGCGAACTATATAGCCAAGCATTGCGTTCATGTAATCTAGTCGTATTGTTCCTCGTGACGTTTTCTGCACTTGCACCATGGCAGCGCGTCTCCGAGTGCGTGCCTGCATGTATATTACGTGCACCACTTCCCCTCTCCCCGATCGACGTGCAGCGTTCTCACTTCCGTAGCTGCGAGTGACCAGACAGCGTTCTGGCCTTACGCGTCCTTGACGCTGTGCGGCGACGCCACTTGCGTCGGATCCTTGACGTCGTGGCGCCGTGACTCGGCGTAAAACGCAACGGCGGGGCTCGCGTCGCGAGACGGACGCCGAAGGAAGCGGAACCGCCGCCGGGAGCGCGTCACGTAGCTCGCCGAGCAGGTCTACGCCGGGTTCCGGCCATTCCGGTTTCTTTCTGGCACCCTTTCCTCGTGGGCCATTCCACAGCCGAGCCAATCCAAGGGCAATTTCGCCGGCACCCGTCACGCCAAGCTGGGGCTCAGGAGCAATGACCTTATTCTCGCGCGCACCGATAGCAAGATCAACTGGCCAATCGGGCGCCAGGAGAGTGCGTGCCACCTTTCCCATTTTTTTTTTTTTTTGCCAGCACAACCACCACGATAGCACGTCGTCCTCGGTCGCGTCATCCAGCGGGCCAACCGCTGTTTCCTGGAGAGGCGTGTGAGCTCACCGAAGAGATAGCCCCATGCAACCACCGCTTTTTCACGATCGATCTCTAATAGCGTAGCCCCTAACGGGGCCAGCATAACCACGTTCGTGCCGGTTAAGGAGCTCGTTGAACTCGGGGAGTGGGAAGAACGTGCCCATGTTAGCATCCTGCGTGGCTGCTAAGCACCGACCGCTTTTCGATGACACCTGTTTTCGTGGCGTTCAATGTAGGAAGTCGCCGCGAACCCATTGCGGCGAAATACCCGTTCCAGTATTATTTAGAAGCAGCGTGGCCGGTGTACCAGGCGGGCCACCGCTTTTAAACGTTACGCAGGTATCTCCAGCCATAACGTTCTCCTACGTTGACGTGCAATGTTTGCAGAGATTTGCCTTGCCTGCCGGAATATCGGCGGTCACTTGGAAAGCAGCCGTCGTCGGAACAACGTTGGTCGATGATGATGATGATCTCTGTGGTCTTCCCCTTTATACCGGGGGGGGCACCTTTTAGTGTCCTCTGTTCTGGCGGCCTGGAATCTTGTCTGCAACTCCTTCAGCTTCTGCGATGACCACAACAGGCTTAGGCGGCGGAGGCTCTTTCTCACGAACAGGGCGCCGCATATGACGCGTCCGGTTGCCATCATCGATGTTAAAGCGGTTGTGCTGGACAAAGTTGACAGCCATGTTGGTAGGCACAAACGACGTCTCGCGCTTCTTCTGGGTTACTCGATCTCGAATAAGCTTCAGCTTGGCCTCCTCGGTTGCTTCTATGTTGCGGATGCGCTCCTCAATGCCCAGGTCAACTTCTGGGATTCCTGAAAGCATTTGATTGGACAGCATCTCCTCAGACTTCTTGGATGTTGACTTGCGCAGGTGCTCAGGCACATGGAACAGCACATCCTCCTCATCCACGGTATTCTGTAGCGACAGCTCTGGCTCTTGAATGCCACCTCGACGTTTAGCCAGTTCCTCTTCGATGTATTTCATCATGTCAGCATCTTCATCACGCTGGTTCGTCTCTACTGAGAATGTATTGCCCAAGTTGACAGCATCCAATTCGTCCATGGTGACATCAAGTCACTCATTAGCAAGTGTGCCACATGTCAGCACTTTGCCTACCGGCAACCTTCAGAGCCACTGTTATCGAGGGAAATCCCAACGCGGCCGTGGCAGCGAATTGGTGTCGACCTATTGACCATGGGGGCAAGCGTTACCTGGTTGCGTACTGTGCCTACTCCAACTACCCAGAAGTGGAACAGTTGCCTCAGTCAACAAGTCAGGTCGTAGTGGACACACTAGGGACCATGTTTGCTCGCCACGGTATACCCATTGAAGTCTGTACCGATGGAGGACCACAGTTCACATCGCGAGAGTTTAGACAGTTTGCAGTAAAATACGATTTTACTCATACCTATCCAGTCCACACTTCCCCAGGGCCCAATGGTCTAGCTGAGAAAGGGGTACAGGTCGTAAAGCGCCTCTTGAAGAAAAGTGAGTACGCTGGCGAGGAGTTCTGGGTTGCACTGCTCAATTATCGAATCTCGCCCCTGATAGACGGACGCACACCAAGTCAGCTCCTTATGGGACGGATGCTTCGGGGACGACTTCCAGACTTCTCATCGGCTTCGACATCGTCAGTGCGGAAACATCCACAGGATCACGGCAAAGGCATACCTCTCACACCTCTCTCCGAAGGGGACGTCGTCAGAATAAGAAACGACAAGGGGTGGTTTCCGAAAGCCCGAGTAGAGAAACTTGCTGGCCCTAGATCTTACATAGTCTGTACAGATGAAGGCCGGCGTTATCGAAGGAATCGTCAGCATCTAAAAAGGACGCCCGAACACTTAGACCCACTGGATGACAAGGATGTCGCACCGATAATCCCGTCGCCTATACAGCATAGACAACATTCAACATCAGATACAGCGCCCGATTTGACAACAGCATCCGCATCACGAAAGGAACGACATCCGTCACAACAGGCGCCTGCATCGGATGCTCTACTGAACCAGTCAGCTGCACGTGCACCACCCATTGCAAGTCAACCATCAAGGGACCCCGACGTGGTCCCGTCCCAGCATAAGGTCACTTGCCAGGCACAAGAAGCAGCCGACTCGAGTCTCAGAAGATCAACTAGGCCACGTAGAGCACCGACGCGCTTTGCCGACTACATCACCTAAAGAAAAAGGAGGATGTACCAGGCGGCCACCGCTTAATAAATCGGGATGATCCCACCTCACCTGGCCACCTTGAGAGAGGGCGCGCGCGCGGCGCGGCAGCCATCAATAAACAGTCCCTTGCTAGCTAGCGTCTCGTGTGGTTGTGTCTTTGCGGAGCGCGTAAAGCAGAACAGCCGGTCCTCCAAGTTTCGCTAAAGTGGGGGCCACCAATTGGCCAACTGTTACCCCACTGAGCTCTCGCGTGAGTTGTCTCGCAATTTACGGCAATGGACACCGGATTTCCCAAAACGCGGCGACGAGGGTGGGCGCTTCTGGGGCTGTTCAGAATGCCCGGACGCGTACACTTCCTTGTGGGCTTC